CCCCCCCTCCCTCCCTCCCTCCTTCCTTCCTTCCTTCCTTCCTTCCTTCCTTCCTTCTTTTCTTTCTTTCCTGTGAGTGCTATCAGGTCTAGCCTGTGTTGTGACTATATTGTTTCCACAGCAACCACCAAGTCTGGTTTTGAGTAGGAGGAAAGCAAAGAAATATGAAGAAGCCCAAGTTCTAATACAAATAAATAAGTGGCATGAATTAAATCTGTGCTGTGTTTTCATTTCCAACCAAATAGATGGATTCACAGAATTGACTCAGCCTCCTCTAGATGAGAAAACATTGTTGTCTCAAAATCTGTGATAACAGTGAACCCCCAGTATTTGACTGCACACACGTGTGTACACATTTGATTGAGTATCATCTCTGAAATGGACCCAATAAATACACTGCATCAACATATTCCTCTGAAACGCATGCCCTCCAGGTCCAGCTAGCCTGAAGCTGCAGGATGTTCCTTACAAGGCCCGTCTGGGGAAGCTCCCATCATCACACTTACTCGAACGACATCCAGCTCTTTATTCCTCTGCATGAGCTGCTTTTCCAGTTCCACGATCTTGGACATGGCTTCATTTTCAGTGTCCTGCAGCTTTTCAGACAGCTGTAACATTTTGAGAAGGAAGCGGTGTCACTTAGAGTCATTCTGATCAGGTCCCCCATTCTCAGAAAGCGTAGCTTGAGACCACTGGGGCCCATCAAAGGTCTACATGTGTTTCACAGGTTGTTTTCTGGAAATGCTGATATTTATATATGGTTCTGAATATGCATTTCTTTCTACAAGAAATTAATCATTTATACATGGTCCTTAACAAAACCCACACATCAGCACCTTGGTGTTTCAGCATATAGTGTCTCCCTCTGTTTCTGTGGGGCTCACAAGGACAGGGAACAGAAAAATGAGAGAGGAGGGAAAGTCCACACCACCTCTCTCTCTCCCTCTCCCTCTTACACACATATACACACACACACACACACTAATGAAAAGGCCATCCAGCAAAAGCTTTTGAAAACTATTGACCCACAAGTTATGGTTCTGTCATTCCAGGTGGCCAGTTGATAAAACACTATTGCGTGTTTCTACCCAAACTATACAGATAGTAAGTAATCTGGTGAGGAAGGTCAAATCAATAGGTAGCCTGCTACAAAAGTGGACACGTAAGTAAGGTCATGCAACGCTGGTTGAGGCTTCAGGAGAAGGACAGAAGTGCCATGTTTTAATTAGTTTCTTTCTGCATTAGGTATAATATTTTCTGATTTCCCACATCTCACTGAAAACTATCACAAGTAGAGGAAACCAGGGAGGCAAGGTAGAAAGGAAAAGTGGAGATTTATGCTGATCATATTCAGACTATAATACAGAAGAAAAAATATTGGGTCTGTAAATTCTCTTCCTAAGTGGATGCCAACTAGGTCACTGTAGTGCTCACAAGGGAAGGGTTTGGGGCCTGTCAACTTGGCATGTGCAAAAGCCATGAGGGTGCACATTTTCAGAATGATAGGAAATGGTGAAGGAAATTCAACCCGTGCTGTACACTTTAGAGGGAAATGTAGAGGAAAATCAGTGGACTGTTCAAAGGGAAAAAATAACATTCCTCCAGAAAGAGACAATTCATTTCTCAGTCAAGGAAAATGCCAATCAAAATTTATCAAGAGACTCTGGTCCTCACCCTGCTTGGGTTTCTGAGAAGCACCACTTTTCTGCTCATTTCTAAATACTGAAATATTGCTTACTGAATTAAAATGCAACTTGGTCTTCGGCAAGAAAAATCCCTGAAGAAAAAAATAAGGCCTTGTACTGATGGAAAGAGAGATTCTATTATACTGAAAGCGCAGTCCTCTTCTAAGAGGAGGACATACGGAAAAGCTTATGAATTGCCTCAATGACACATGTTGTTGAAATGGCTCTATCTAGAATCTGAGTAACCATAAGACAAGAATGTTCAGACATCCATCATGGAGACACTAGCTAATCTGGTCCAAAGGCCCATATGGACATATCTGATAAGAAGGTGGCTCATATTCGAACATACTTTACCGCAGGTCACATTCCCATATGTGAGATCTTTTCCCTCTAATCTTTAGATAATACAACTATCCAGCTCTCCTGTGCCTGTTACTAGGACCAGGAAATGCAACTCAGACCCAGCAGATACAGAGCTGGTACGGGCGCAGAGGCAAGGTGATGCTTCTACATTGTGTTAAGTGACATGCCTGCCTTCTGAGAGCTCACAGTTCCAGGTAATACTCAGTCCTATACTATCGATCTTTTCATGTACTGCCAGAGAGCTAACATCACTGTTGCTTTGCACCCGGGTGAAACGTAAGCAGTGTTCCCTTTTCTGAGACATAGTTACATGAGAGATGTTTTCTTCCAGCTCTTCCACCCTCTCCAAGGCAGCATTCTTGGTTTCAGCATCTTCTAGCAAAGCACCCACATCGAACACGTTGTCCAGATAAGCCTGAATCTGTACCTGCAGCTTGTCACTCTCTGTGTGTTTCAGCTTCTAAAAAACCAGAAGTCAAGAGTAGGTGGTATTAGCTTAGACGTGGAACATAATTCAGTCTACGTGTTTTGTATTTTACAAGTAGTCCAACCTTTTCCAAGAGCGGGTTTAATAAACCATTTTCCTAAACAGAATTATGGAGTGACTGCCTAAGAGGGTACCATTAGATTACTTCCTGGTGAATCTCCTCTCCCGAATATACATACAATTTTTCCTACACTGATAGGGCTTATTTTAGCATGAATTGCTGGAGCCCACCCTCCATGACACCCTCCCTAAATGAGTGCCCAACATGAGCAGCTCAAGGCTCCCCAAAGCACAAACTAAAAGCTTTTCCTAGTTCATTATATCCCAGACTAGGCACTGAGAAGAAATGGCTGGCTTCATAGGGATACTAGTGGTCAAATACGTCAGTGACTCTTCCCTGTAAGTGATGACCTTCCCCGAGGAAGAGATGAGAGGCTAAAATATTTGACCCGTGGCCGGTGACAATAAACATTTATTAAACAAAGGAACAGACACAGACTGTGTTTTGTAAACAAATGAAGCATTTAAATATTACATGCTTATAAATGTAGTCTCTAATCACCTCTATCTATTACGGTCCAGTATTAACACAACATGAAGTTAAAGAAATATACTATTTTTTAAACATCTTTACTTTTTAAAAGGAATTCCATTTTACATAAATTCTCAGGAAAATAGTTTTCTCCTAGGTCTAATCTGGAATTCTTTTCTTTTTAATTTTTATTTCTTTTTATTTCTGTTTCTCTTATACATTCAATCACGTTACTTAGCTTACAAAGTGAATATTCCAACATGTGTACCTTTCTCCCCAGTCTAGTTCACCATACTAGAAAGTTATCTTTAACAAATAATAGTCCATTTCTTTGTCCCATAAATGCCTTGCCTCTCTATTTTTCTCCTTAATGCCCTTCTTCAGACTCTACTCCTTCACCCGCCCTCTTCTCACACTGTATCTGGTATTCACAACCATTTACTTAGTTTCTATAACCTTTCTATACTTTAGCTTTTTGGAAGAGAGTAGGTTTTCTCTCACTTTAGGAATCAGAACTAGAAAGATTTCCGAATAAGGGCAAAGGCTAGAAAGAAAACGGAGAAGTTTAAATGAGATTTTCAAAAAGGTTCACAATGGGTGTTCACTCATATGTCATCACCTGCTATTATCACCCAGACCTAAAGGAAGCTCTGCTGAGACCTCACAAAACTGAACCCAGGATACCATTAAGAATCTATAGTCTCAATTTTTTGTTCCAATATGGCTACTCTCAGAATAGACGAACCTTGATTTTAAAGCTGAAAAACCCTTTCAATACAATCAATAATCTGCCAATGACATCAATCTTTAAACACACCGAAAAATAACTCTTTGATGGGCACATATTATGTCTCTCCCTAAGTAAAGTCTTTAGACAAATTTAGGCCAGTCCACTCAAGGGCAGTCCAGCTGATCTGATGAGCAAAGACATCGGGTGGAGAGTCCCAGCTCTGAGACTCTTCCTCTCAACAAGCTGTAATTCCCTGGCTTTTAAAGTTAAGCAGCTGCATTCTGGAATATCCAAGGGAAGTACTTCTATCTTTATGGCTAGAAACAGCCTAGACATTGAGGCTAACATTCCTTGCCCTATTACTAACATTATTCCAAATTAATCTGGACCATTCCTGCATGAGAGAGAAAACAAAACAGCCTAAGAGTCAAAGAACAGGACACATAGCTAGTCATGCCTGTTCATGATTTCTCACATCAACTTTCTGTTTTCTTAACTGAAAAACTTCAGGGAACTGGCTGAGCTCTTCTGCAAGGAAGCAAGAGAAAGAGAAACTTTAAACCCACTTTTTCCAAGAATAAAAAGTAGAACTTTCAAATCCACAAACACTTTAAGCAGACTTTAACAGCTTCAGGAGGAAGTCTCTAGTGCCCATTTCCTCATTACTTTTTTATGTGTTAAGCATTTACTCATCCCTCTATAGCAGTCTTGGTTTGACTTTCCCTGCCCAGATGCAGTCCCCAGAGTAAACAAGAATGCAAATTGCCCAACAGCCTGGATGAAGGCCACAGTGAGACTTGACCCAGACAGTGAGCATAAGCTGAGGAGGGCCACAGCAAGGCTGCAAGAGGTTATCTGACTCTTATACTAAAAGGCAGCTGGCAAAAGATGGCTGAAGGTCTCAGGAGGTCTCCAAGAACCCAGCTTCTCTACAAATTGCATGACACAGAGTGGTTCCCTTTGAGTAGCACAACAGTAGCTGACTGTATTGAGCTCTAAGTGCGCTTTACCCACTATGGAACTATGGAAGTGTACCTTTGGGAGCAGGTAATAAATCAGTTCTAATACCGGAGCCAAAGGGTACAGTTATACTCACATCCAAGTATTCATCCAGGCCTAATTTGGTAAATTCATATTGGAGGTGAACTCTGAAATTCATGTCTTCTACGGAATGGACGACAATATTAATAAACTGCATAGAGGCCACCTGGAATGAGATTGCCAAGAGTTTAAATGGGCCCAAACTTTTTTCTCCATTAAATCATAGGTATGAGCTTTCATTTTCACAAATTGAGGTCTACTTACCGATGTTCTTTTCCTTCATTTCACTGGGTCTCTAAAAATGTTTTATCATTTTTTAATTCAACAAATCATAGAGGTACCACAATAAGATATCACTTCATACTCACTATAATGACAATAATGAAAATAAAATATGATAGAAAGTATTGAATGCTGACATTCAAACCATCCACTGCTTTGAAAAGCGGCCAGTTCTTGGGAACCAGCAGTTAGCGTAATGGCTATGTCGCTGGACTCCCACGTAGTCGACCGTGGTTCGCATCCCGGACCCTGTGGCTTAAAACTCACGCCGGGCGCATGTGTGTACGTGCCCAAGATCCCAAGAGGAGAATGCAGGAGAAGGGATTGCAGCACAACCATTCCCCCCTGGGGGGTGATTTCTTGCTTTCTGTCTCTATGTCTCTCTCTGTCTGTTGAGCGCACGCACCCTATAGCGAAAAATCTCTCCAAAAAAAAAAGTGGCCAGTTCTTCAGTATGTTAGTCTTATTCTATGGGGTTGGCAGGTGGCGTTGTGGTTAAAGGTACTAGACTCCCACAGGACTGACTGCAGATTGACTCCCAGACCTGGTGGCTTGCTTTCTCACTTTCCCTTTCTCTCTCTGGTCAAATTAAAAATAATAGTAATAACAAATGAAATTAAATAAATAATTCTTTTTTAAAAAAGTTTTACCCTATGACTGAGCAAATTTTCTCCTAGGTACATAGCCAAGAGAAGTTAAAATACATGTCCACATAAGAATCTGTACATGAATATAGCACAGTAGTATAAAAAACCCAATGTCAAGAACCAGCAGTTAGCGTAATGGCTATGTCGCTGGACTCCCACGTAGTCGACCGCGGTTTGCGTCCCGGGCCCAGTGGCTTAAAACTCACGCCGGGCACGTGTGCGTGTGTGCCCAAGATCCCGAGAGGAGAATGGAGGAGAAGGGATTGCGGCGTGACCATCCCCCCTGGGGGGTGATTTCTCGCTTTCTGTCTCTCTCTTTCTGTCTGTCTGGCGAGTGCACGCACCCTATAGCAAAAAAATCTCTCAAAAAAAAAAAAAAAAAAAAACAATGTCCATTGCATAATGGGTTAATATATCCAGACAATGGAATATTATATGACAATAAAAAATGGAGTAGTGATATGTGTGACTACATGAATGAACATGGAAACATCATGTGAAAGGGAAAAAAAAGCACTCAGTCACAAAAGACTACACATTAAAGGATTCCTTTCATACAAAATATCCAAAACAGGCCAAACTATAGAAATTGACTAGTGATTGCATATGTCTGGGTGGGGGTCAATGAAGAATGATGGCTAATGCATACAGAGTTTCTTTTGAGGGTGACAAATGTTCTAAGTTAGAATGTGGTGATGGGTTCATAACCTTGTGAATATATCAAATGTGCACTGAACTGTATACTTAAATGGGCAAATTAAATGGTAAAGTCTAATAGGTACAGAGAACAAACCGTGTAAATTATCACAGACATAGTGTACAAATTTGAAAATTGTTCCAAAAAGAACAGAAGTCACTTATAGTCTCACCACAATGTAATCACTTCTAAAAATTCACTGTGTGTTCCAACATACCTACAGGATAATAACAGAAAGTAAGAAAGCACCCCCGGGGGGATGGCCATGCTGCAATCCCTTCTCCTCTGTTCTCCTCTTAGGATTCTGGGCACGCACACAGATGTGCCCAGTATGATTTTCAAGCTGTCAAGTCTGAGTCTCAAACCATGGTCTGCCATGTGCGAGTCCAACACCTGAACCACCATGCCAACCTGCTGGCCTGATTTCCTTTATATTTTAAAAATTTGTTTTAGAGTTGGATTCTTCTTGGAATATATGGTATACCTGGATATCTTTGAAAGTGTATAAACTCTCTGGGTTACAAGAAACTCTACTGCAGTTTATTAAAAATTTACTTCAGGTTCTAATAGTTCAATAAGCTAACAGAAAATGATTTTGTTGGGACCAGCAGTTAGTGTAATGGCTATGTTGCTGGACTCCCATGTAGCAGAATGTGGTTCGAGTCCTGGACTCGACTTTATTTGGCATCCTGAACAGACTGCTGCGGAAGACCTGACTGGGTTATCTGCTCCAGGCTAGAAGCAATCTGGGAGATTAAG